AAGGTAGGAAGAGCATACACTTTATAGAGTATCGTAGCACTGGGTCAGCCAGTGAATTTTTAATCACAAGTCAGTCTTTCATTCCTTCATCCTTCATGTTTCCTCAATAAGCCTTTATGTATTCATATGGCGGTTAAATAAGTGATATCCTTCAATTGCGGAAGAATTTGATCGTCACAAGAATTTTAAGGAGAGCAGTTTGTGGTTAGACGTCATCGTATTGATGATGGAATTAGAGTCATAAACAATCGTCTTTTCTTTTGTGGTTCGCTATTTCTTTGTGGACATTCCTTTTCCCTTTTAAGTCACTGTCTTTTAGTATCACGATATAATAGGCATTAAATACATAAAACTTCGCCCATCAAACTTTCTCTGAAATTCAATTTCTGCCTGTCATAGCGGAAATGGTGGGTTATACTTAATTTCATCAAAGAGGAAATTAAATCGTTTCAGTCATTTCAAGCTAAGTTTTCAACAGCTTCAATGAATTTTTCCCTTATTTTCTCTTGCTTTTAAAGTAACCCTTGTTTTGAGTCTGAGAGCTGTATTCGCAGTCATCATGAAAGTAATGACTCTTCGAACGAACTCATTCTCGCTGACCGATATAAAAAAGCCGACCGACCTAACTTGTTTCAGTTAATAGGGATGATTTGTGCATAGGGAAGTAATCCAGTGAAACGAATGACAATATATTTGTCGCTTAGCACTTACATTATGGGCCTAAAAATTCAAAAACTGCTCGTTCACCTATCACACGACTTGCTGAAAAGCGGTTCCCTCAACATTAATTGAAGGGGGTGAAACACGATACAGCCATCATAGTCTTGATTTTGGCAAACTTGGAATGGAACATTGTGTCTCTTCTGTTACAATTTGACGCAGACTGATGTGAATATTTTTATTTGCCGGCCTCGTCGTGCTACTTTAGGAGACATTCATCTTCCGTTAGTACCGATGATTTCATCGATAGTAATATGGCACGCTAAGACCTTGCATCTTTTTTTTAGAAGAATTTTCTGGGATGAACATGAGATGCTTTGTGTGTATTACCAACTGAGAGCTGTCCTAGAGGGCACACTTGTTAACAGCAATCCCAAAATTGTTCTCGTTCATACAATGGACTTAAACAGCGTGCTAGGTGACCAATTGTTGCCAATGATCATGATAAACAGACATAGGTGTCATAGCAATGTCACAGTAATATTGGTACACTTTTCTTTAGTCCAATTCATCTTGAAAAAAAAGGTTTTCAGTCAAAACTGTCTATGGTATAAAAAGATATATATATGAAATCGAGAGAGTTTTTGCATCTAAAAAAATTGTCCAAAACGGAATCAGAAATCAAGCAGTCTGTGCCTTACCGTTGACCCAATATAAATTCATCTCAGTTTCCTAATTAAGATCACATTTCTTAATTGGAAGACATCAAGAAGTGACTAGAACATCCGTGGCACACTTGCCAATGGCACATGCGCGACTTTCTTGCTCTCGACCTACTTTTACGCCATCCGTGATCTGTAACCCATCACTTAATAAGCAAAATGGAATGTTCTTGCGACTGAGATTAATTTTTACAACGCGAGATTTATGAATCCTCTGTCGGTTTTAGATATGAGCAAGCATCTGTAACTTAGCAAGAACGCTAGCTTTCAGGTTTAAAAAAAAGGACAAATAACTTGCCTCTCTGTCAAACTGCTCATGCAGTCGGAAATTTAGCATGCTCAGTCCAAGAATACAATAGGAATAAAAAAAGGAAACAAAAGAGGAAATATCCAAGAACTTTAAAAGCGAAAAGTTTGTCTTGAGTTCTAATGATGCTTCAAGTTCCTACTTTAGGCGATACTGCTGAGCTAAGATTTGTAAACTCCACAACCTCTTGGTCAAGCATGCTTGTTTTAATACTGGTCATGATTCAGCAACAGCCTTATTGTCTTACCTGTTCCCAAAATGTAGGCATCAATCAATCAATCTTTAGCTTGTTATGGTATGGGTGTCATATTAAAGGCTGATTTACCCTTCCAGACCCCATTACGCAAGGAAGAGTGGATGGGACCCCTCCTTTAAGTCTAGACCATTATTAATGAGTTTTTGATGAGCCTTAATGTGTCACAGAGTAACTGAAACACATTTAAAGGATGACAGCCTCGTTTTGTACGTGACATCACCCACTATGGTAAGTCTGAGATCTAATCCCCCAAAATGTACTGTAAAGGCTCGACCTTCTATCACCAATGACGTTTTTCAAATTTACCAAATAAATCTACTGGCGTCACCGTTTCTCAAAAACATTTAAGAGGATGACAAGTTATTTAAAATACCTTCGAAGGCTAGACGCAATGCAGTTTCGTTTCACAGTCATATTTTATCTGTAACTTGATTAAACACTAGGCTTCTGTAGCCCATATTTTCTTCTATCATAGCTTCAGGACTGTTGATTAAATTTTCATATCTGAAGGCATCAAAAGGCTTTTGACCCTTATAACAGGCTTTTTTACCAAATCAGTCACCTAACCTTAGGTCAATAAGCGATCTCTTTCTGGACCACACTTAGGCACCCGGTAGATCAGACCACAACATTAAATGTTACTCCTAGAGTCGTTAAAATAATATACTCCATCAACGATATTTATTGAATGAGATAATTACGCATGGATGAAGTTTCTTTCGCGCATGTTCTGTCAGCTTGAACAAAAACATTGTAAATATTCGCTCCCATGATAATTTTTTGTCAACTCGAGGAGGGAAAATAGGTCGAAAAATGTTGATAAACGGCAGAAAATTGCCTTAAAATACGAGTGTGACAAAGAAAGAATTAAAGTAATAGTATGAACATAATAATAATTATAATATAGAAAGCAAGAATTGGCAATACTTTGTGAAAAATATGTCAAGTCGTAATTGTTAAATAAATACTTCTCTTGGTGTCAGTTTGCATCAGTTCTGTTATGACACATTTTTAATATCTTTCCTCGCATCATTCAATACTGTTTTAGGTATCAATTACAGAGAGTTAGTCAGTCCTCTTAGTGTGTCGACCAGTGAAAGCCATTTGATTCTTGTCAGTTGCTAGTCGGTCAAGCTGCCCTCGTATCCAGTCTAAGTCCTCATTTCGCTCTTCGGCTCTCAGGACTCTCTTTCTTTTCTCTTCGGAAGTCCATCGGAGGGCGACTCTGAACAGGGCTGATGCTGGCATTCGGAACAGTATTAAGTTCTAAGTATATGTTAATAGATCTGCACCTGAGAGGATTGCTATTTGCCATCCTTGTGAATCTTCCTCATCTTTAGCCATCCCTGTCGCTCTTTAGTTGATTCTTCCTCCTGTGATATTTCTATACCTTAGCAGACGACTTCACCGGAGTCATATTCTAATAATAGTAAATCTCCATGGCTCTGAAAATGATATGAAATATGCTGAAGAAGCGAATTTAACCGAACGCAATACTTCTGTATACGTAGGAATCTAAGTCTTCCAGAGTTTCTGATCAACTGCCATCTTAAGAAATCTCTTTTTATTATTATTATTTTTTGCTTTTTTCATCCTTAAGGCTTTTTAAACATCACTTCTTTTTTTATTGCTGAAAGATGAGCGGAAGCGCTAAACGAGGTTAGCAAGCTCACAGTGTGAAGGGCCATATATTGCGCGCGTGTTATTCGCTATCTAGCTGAGCGCCCACAATTTTCTCAACGTGTCACGCATAATAATAGTCACTTTTTGCGTGACTGAAATGAGCAAACAACGCTCTTCTTTTTTAAAACCTTGTATTGCTGTGTAAACTAACCAGGACAACTCTGCTGAACACCATACCATAAATTGCATCTCTTGTTTAATGTGTTTACTTACACGTAAGGAGAGAAAATCACTAGTTTACAACCAATAAATCTTCTTTCGTGTCCCCAGAGACCTCAAAGCCTTCCTCCCGACGGAAGACGCACCCTAAGGCGGGGCTCACAAGAGCAGATCACTCACGCTGATACTTGTCGCGAACTAGTCACGATTACAGAAGGCTGTTTCATATACTTCGCACTGCGAGCTAATCTTGTTTTATATCCCTCGAAACAAGCCAGGACTCACGAGGCGAGTATGGTGTATCGTCTTTAGTAGTGTTAGACAGGTCTCTACATTTGTTCGCTGGTGTGAGTGACTGAGAAAGGGCCCTGTGGTAATCGTCAACGCACTCCAGCTTTTTCCATGCTTTTCTCTTGACTGGTAGGATTAGATGTAAGATATGTGAGTTATTTCTCTATACTGTAGTCAAACATCTTGAAAGAACCTGCCCTGAAAAATCTTCTAGATTTCTCAGTACTATTCTCTCTATCTAAGTTCACATCTTAGCTTATATTTACTGTGAACAAAGCAATTCCACCCATCAACGTGACGCGCATCCGTTTTGCAGAGGACGAGAAATTCTTAGTTATTGTTTTTGAAAATTGCTTTATCGCGGAATGAGCTCAGTTGCAGTTGTCATTTCAGTCCTGTTTCAGCTCAACTGAAACAGTAATATTTCACGCATATGGCAGGAATATTCGTCGTACAAGATTACATACCCAGGAATTTTTAAAAAAAGGTATTATAGGAACCTATTATCTCTTGAAACAATTGCCGTCTTTGGTACAGACCAAGTAATAAAAGAATTCTCAGCTTTATCTTCTAACATCCTGCAAGGAACCGCTGAAGCATAACATTGTAAAGCGTGTTTACGATTTGAAAGACTATATTTTGGCCTTGTTTTTAATTGTATTGCGACGTTCCTCAGCATGAAAAGTAAACAATCGTTTGATCTTTCTTGGTACGTAAATGGGTATCATATAGCTTTTAGGTACAAGAGTTGGGATCCTTTTGGTCTTGGCTTTCAATTGTTATCCCTCCTTCTATCGAATACTCTTGTTTAAAAAGAAGGCGACAGGAAGCTCTTTGCAATTTTTTCTTTCCTTCAGTTGCCAGTTTAGTTACTACGGGGGGGTCTATAACGGTTTCAGGACACAGACTTCACAATTGTGGATATATCGTGCTTGACCTTTTCTTTCTCCCCTGCGTAAGGTTTGCGCTGTCGGCGTTAATCAGAGAAGAGATAGGGGATTAAAACCAAGTTATTCTCGGTTTATACAGCATTCGGAAATATTATGTAGTATTAATATTTCTACATCGTCTGTGACTTGGATAATTGCCCAGTTCTGCCAGAAAATTATAACAGAAATTGTGGCACGGAAAGGTATATTGTCAATGTCTTACGTAAAGAATAGGAAATGACAGGAGATAATGAAGGATGCCTGAACAGGGCGTCAAAAATCAAGTGTCAGATGAAAGAAGTCTCTTCAAAAGTGTTAAATGCCACCTTTTTTCCAAGCCTTGTGTAGGAAATTGAGGTGGTCCTACAAGGGATTGATTAAGTGTTACGCGAGTATGACCTACAGCTATCATCCCAGTGGTCTATAGTGTCTTGCCACCCATAATTTGTTTCACGCACCAATTTCGCCGCTGTTTTGAAATGTTGGAGCTCATATAATAGCTCATCAACTTGCATGCCGGCTTTGGGAGTCCACTGGACACGTGTTAAATCAAAGTGAGATACCAATGGTATTACTCAGTCTTTTAACATATCCCATCGCGTGACTCGGCGTGAAAACAACTCGCCGTCAGAACGAGTTTATTACATTGGAAGTACAAGGTTTAAACAGTTTTCAATGCTATCGAGAACTTTGAAGCACAACTTTTAATTTTATCAATGCAGTATGATCTCAGATGACATTTTCCAGACTAGGGCGGCGCACACAAAAGGACAAGACGATAATTACGTCTTCGAAGAGACGTAGATATTTTAAATGTTGAACCTCACCGAATAATCGCGTGGACATCACAACTATAGTGTATTTTTGTCACGCCGCGAATTGTGCTAAAGTAAGTTTTCACGCTGTTGATGTTTTCGCGCACATGAACCGGTAGAATTTTTTATTGATTTTTCACACCCATCAAGCGTCGACAGAGCATAAAGACACCGCTTAGCAGCGATGACTACCGCGCAATCACAGATCACTGTTATGTGATCGGATTACAATGTCTATCTTTCAACGTGAAGCATGTCATATCTTTTTTTACTTGAACTTGTCACGCAGACACAGTAAAGACGATGAACACGCTCCATTTTAATGGTAGTCTGCCCTTATCAGAACTTCTTGACGGGCCTCTGTTAGCTCGTGAAGCCACCGTTTCCTCTTTCTGTATTTATTAGTTCTCATTCTTCGATAATAAAGAGCTAAATCAAGCAAATACACGATATTTTGAATCATCTGAGGGTCATCGAGGATCGACTTTGAATTGGGTGAAACCTTGAAATAAACATACAGTAATTAAACTAGCAAGGTGGTGTTTAATAGATTTTTCGCTTTTATTTCAAGGAGCATTTGCTTCAAATTTTCCAATTTTTTGCTTTAGGGTTAGTATATTGTCAGCTTTTTGCTTCACATTTTTCGTATTTCTGAGAAAAATTTCGGTCGATAAATTGCGTTTTATTTTTTGACAAAAACTTGTATAGATTTTGCAGTGTCTCACGTTTTTGATGCGTCGCGCCGCACTAGTTGCAGTATTTCATTTCTCATAATCCTGGTTGAATAAATTCCTCCCGATAAGAAGCGGTGTTTATTGGTAATTTTGTTTCCTCGTGCGGTATTTAGTCGACAACGACGTTTATTCGAGGGCAGCATGTAATGAAATAAAACGATATGGATGAAGATACCGAGACCGAGAGAATAATAATAATAGTGATACGGATTGCGAATGACAAAATGATAGTAATTCAAGCTAATTTAAATAAGATGTATGCAAGGAGAATGTGATGTTTAACCAGGTCATCAAATTACGTCCAAGTGCCTAACCCAAAAAAGAATTATTCTCTCTCTGCCTTGGCTAAACTAATTCGGTTACATCGTCCCTTGATTATGTGCCCTTCCTAAAGTCATCATCTATTATTTCATGTTTTAGGACCCTGGTGACAATGGACCATACGCGAGTGCCATTTGTTCTGCTATTTCTTAGTGTGCTTATTTCCATCATGGTGAACAGCAAAATTTCAGCCGAGAGTGCGAATACACGATGCGTTTTGAGGCAAAACAAGACTTGTTATCAGTATTCTATCGCAAGAAGGCGAAATTTGACCTGTTCTGTAAGTGGTGATAAATTCAGGAACTGCCATCAGATGGGTAACGCAGGAGCCTTCAATCTTACATGTTCTTCCCCAGGCGAATGCAAGCAGCAATGTGTGGCTGGCTACTGCCAGTCCCTTCAGTGCAACGCCAGGAAATGCAACCAATATTGCATCCGTGGACGGTGCAATATGGAGTGCAATTCCGAAGAATGCATTCAAGAATGTGATATAGGTGGATGCGAGATGAAATGTCCAAGTGGTGTCAAGCGTTGTATTCAGAAATGCGGTCGAGGAAATTGTAAAATGCATTGTCCAGCAGGAGTGCAATACTGTAAGCAGTCGTGTGACACGGGGAGATGTTTAATGCTATGTCAAGGAAAAGAATGTTCCCGCTCCTGTCGCTACAGCAAATGCCTCTATAACAGTGAGCCCGAAAATGTGGTTGCGATGGCCGTGGTTTCAAGCTGCAATAGAGCGTTTCTTCGAAGACATAGCATTTGTTACCAGCATTGCCCATCTGGGAACTGCAATATGATGAACGTTACCAATGTTGCCATGCATAGCCAAGCATGCTATGGAGGCAACTGCAATATGAGGTGCAACGCAAACAAAAAATGTAGTCAGGTCTGCGTCGGACGGCATTGTCAACTCGTTACTTGCACTTCAGAAATTTGTATCCAAGAATGCATCGCAGGAGGATGTAACATGGAGTGCTATTCAAAAGTTTGTACCCAAATTTGCAGAGAAGGAAATTGTAGGATGGCTTGCTTATCGTCGAACTCCAAAATATGTTACCAGACCTGTGCTGGTGGAGGCTGTGTCACATCGTGTGAGGGTGAGAATTGCAGCCCAAGGTGTTTCGGTGGACATTGTAAACACTCTCTCCAGTATGAGCCTCCTGGACTGATAACAAATACTGCCTGCGACGAAATCAAAGACAATACTTGTGTTCAAGAGTGTGGCTCAAGTGTAGGCTGTTCCCTTGAAAACAGACCCTCTAGCCCGTTGAGGGTCTCCAATCAGACATGCGGTGATGGCTTTTGTGTGCTAAACTGCACGGGATCAGAAGTATGCAATCAGGTTTGCACTGGCCAAAAGTGCTACACGATGTCTTGCCATTCCGGTGAGTGTACGCAGATTTGCGAAGGGAACGACTGTGGCTTGTTGGAATGCTATGCAGATACGTGTACACAAAAGTGTTTTGGCTTGGGATGTCATTTGAAATGCCATCCCTCGGTCCAGGTATGCCATCAGATTTGCGTGGCTGAAAAAGAGAGATGTGCGCTCGAGTGCTGGGCGAAGCAATGTACCACAACAATGGTGTGACCTCGAAATTCAAAACGAAGAGCTTAAAGGCATTGCTGCAAACACAAATTTTGAAATTACGGCAAAAAGTTTAGTGACAGGAAGCAACGCCATTTTATCACTTTTGAAATAATGCAGATTCATTCTGCTCTGTTGCTCAGGATGATGTTACTAAGATATGATCGACTGTAAAACTGACCGTCAGGCCTTACTGCCAAAGGGACCAAATGAGTATTTAATTGTTGAGGAATCTCTTGTCAACTTTTACGAGAATTTTTTTTTGTTTAAACATTGCTTTATTTTGAAACTTAGATTTGAAAAGCATTTAACTTAAAGGAGATCCAAATCTATCTTTGAATAGCAGCACTCAGAAGTAAGGCTGGGCTTTCAATTTCTCTCTTTTGAGTACTTTTGTGAAGTATTTTATTTTTCTTCTAAAGAACAGGTAGATTGAGCCTGTTTAAAACGCGTAAAACGTTCTTCGCTATTTTATTGTGTTACATGTGTAGTGAAGCCATCACTGTATTATAAATATGGGCTAAAAATAGCAGGATGATGTTATGTAATGGTGGTTCAAGCTAGTTGTCTTTGAGAAGTACAACATTCAGAAATGCAATGTATAAACTTTTGTTCACAGCAGGAGTGGTTTTAATAGTTCAAGTATTTCTTCGAGACTAAAAAAAAAGTTAAACGTTGGCCGTTACACTAGATTATTGGATTCACGTTCCCTTTCTGGCCGTAAATCCAGGCCTCGGTCTAAGGCAATGAGTGAAAAAGAATGGGAGGTGTCTCTTAGAGAGCAACGTATTACCCTTTTAGTTATATCTTTCAACCGGCTTCATTGACCGAGAGTCTAACGCATTCAAACGAAATAAGACGATTGGTTGCACTAGTTGCTCAACTTATTCAAGTGTTTGCCCTATGGCGGGGCTTTCTGTGCCAACCTAAGAAAAACAAAAGCAATCGATTCTATTACTTGTGGAAATTGTTGCTCACAAGCAATTCGCTGGTACATTTGCATGGCTCTTCGAACTTTGGAGAGGGAGACGTGATGAATTTCTAAGGGTGACTCTTATTCAATCTTAAAATCTCATTAGTAATTTCCTTTGCTGTATGCTAAACAATTCTTATGGCGTTAGTTCGGAGAATGTGATACTGGATCAACTACCAATCTTCTACTTGATTTTTTTCTGTATCTTCTCACTTGTCTGCTTGGTAATACCATAAAAAGAGATAAAATATTTCATTTATTTTCGGAAAATTAAGAAACGAACGAAAAAAAAAGCAACCAAAACGTTTAAACCTAAACTGTTTTGCAAAAATACCCCAGTGGCCCAAAACAATAGCTGCTCAGAAAAAAAAAGAAACATTAGACAGGCATAAACTACGTTATTGCGCGCGGATCTTCCCGCAAAATTTCACTGAGATTGCTTGGTAGTATTCTCCGTTCTAGATAAACAACCCGTCGGTACAAGGCAAGCAGAAAGAGGCTCGTAACAGTTGCTAAGAGAACCGATATTATTTACGACGCTGTAACAGAACGGAAGGTTCGGTTCTTATCTTTACCCAATTTACAGGAACCAGTATCAGACGGCCCTCCTGTAGCTTGGGCGGACATAGCAAGGGTCTCGCACAGGTGTCCACTAAATGCAGGATTCATTGTAATCCAAATTTTCCTTTCATTTTATTCAAAACTACAGCTAACTATCTGACTTGAAATAATTAAATCCCTCAGAAGGGAATATCAAAAGACGCCTACTCGCATTGAATGGTCGTCTGTCCACTTGATCCCAAAATTCCTTGAATTTTAGCTTCCATGAGACACCCAAAATTATATTTTACCTGATAATAAGCTATTACAATCACTTTTTCTAAACAGGAGTAAAAAAAAATCCATCAAGTTTGTTCAGTCCTTCAGAGTAAAAAGCTATCTTCTTTACATGAACCTAATACATAATGATCATCAACTTTTTGTTAATCAACAGTATAGAACAGTATTTCTAATATCTGCCTTGATTTTCCCTCGAATCTAAACTCGATCCCTTCACATTTCACAAAAGTCATAGGAATACCTTTATTTGGAGATACTTTTGCTTCATCATTTCCTGATATTGAAATTCTCACAGTGAACTGTGCTTCTCTTGCTATCAGAAATGGATTCGGAACTAATACGTCAAACCCAAGCCTACTGTGTGCCTGTCCCGCAAGGCTACTAACTGTGTAAGTTCCACGCGCAGCGGAAACTTCGTCTTTCAATCCGTGACATCCGGAAACTCTGAGCTGAACCGAGTACTGTCTGTCTTCGTCTTTGTGGGCGTGAAGACGAACCCCAGCAAAGTACACTTCTCTGTTCGTTGAAAATCTCAAGCTTTCAGAAACTGAGCTGAAATTTTCGGAACTTGGAAATGTTTGATTTTCTCTGTACCGATAGCAACGACACAGCTGGGCGTCTGAGCTTCCCGATTGAATCTGGGGGCCGCGAGGCTTGCATGAAAATTTGAAGTGGCAAGCAGTGGTGGGGGCGCCCTGTTTGTGGAACATGTGTACTTGTGATATTTCTTCCTCGGTGAGAATACCTGATGGTACAACAATATCCTCAAATAATTTAGGAGGTATCATAGGAAAGCGTATCAAGTATAACACTTCTTTAAGAGCACCTCTCAACTTATCGCCTGTGGGTTTAAAATTCCGCAACTTGCAGTTGGCAGCCGCCCATCTCCTCGTAGCTTTAAAGATAGCGCACTCTCCGTCCACCAAAGAAAGGGTATCTCTCTTGAGAAGCGACGACAGAGTGTCGCGACTGATCCAAAGAAGCCCTTCACTCTGAAGGCAAGCGGTTGTTTTAGCGTCCAAAATCTGCCAGCAGCGTTGCTCAAGGTCAGGCTCAGAAAACAGCCTCGCGTGCTCCAGGATTTTAAAGACGTTGGTTTCTCTCAATTCCGCTTCCAAGAAACGACAACAGGTCTCCGCCAGGAAAGGAACAATGTACTTCTTTGCCAAATACAGTAATTCGAATACATTCCCAGAGGTCAAGTGCACTACATCCGAATATAAATAACGAATGAACTCTATCATACTACGAGAATGACAGTCAGAAAGTGGAATTATTTCCCTGGTATCTGCCATGTTGCCGTAAAACATGGCATGAAAAACAGGGCTGCTAAGGGATAAAAGAAGCTTGTGAGCGTAGATTAATTGGCTGCCATTGCTAATACTCGATCCTGGATCGAGAGGAACTGCAAATCTGACATCGCTCATCAGAGGGTTATTTATCATCAATGATGTTCTTTCGCGAATGGTTCTCTTTGCAGCCTGCCAGTCATCAAAACTGGAAGATCTACCAGTTCTCGAAGTTGCCAGTGCCATATCATTCGAAAACAGGCAGCTTTAGCTCTCTGAATGTTTTAGAGCACTGTGCTATGGCATGCAGATATCTCTAATAAGTGACGTGGCAGAAAATTTAAACCTTTCCATGCATGTAATCAGTATTTGTGTGACTAATTCATACATGACTGTAAAAACAAAAAGAACGCAGGGGGTCTTTTTGCAAGACGCCGTCATATTTACACAAGTCACTCTGGTGTTCACTGTTTTGAAACTCTAGAACAAAGATGTCGGCACGAGTCAGGAATATTAAATGTGTTTTTTGTAAACAGTTGCAATTGCCCTTCGGCGTGTTTTTAGAGCTTCCTAGCTGACCAAGAGCTATGTTAATGTCGTTGCTGCTAGACGTAGTGAACACTGTGTACCAACGGCGACTCATCTTTACGATGCCGATTTTATGTACCACTCTCCTGTTAAACAGTCTTTAGCTATTCTTGTGTGAGATATTGTCACACCGTCACTGGCCCTTTTTTTATGTGGCCATGCAGTTAATAAGGGGTTAATAAATACAATTAAGTTCTAGAAACGATATCCGACTTGGTTCCTCGGAAACGACATGATCTACTAATAATCTGTCATTTTGTTCGGGGAATGCAGGCCAGTAGGTAGATCAAGCACGGCGTGCATGACTCAGTAGATGGCCCTCCGACTGCACGCAATTCGCTTAGCTCCATGTTCCCCAAAACTGAACGTTCAAGCGACCACAAATGTTATGGGCAGAGAACGTGCGTTAACGGAAATGGTGGTCATAAATGCCCAAAATAGATAATTCCAACGCTCCTTTGTTCGTCAGTGGTGTTTAGTCCATAATTTTTTCGCTTGAATCTCTTACCGAAGTAAATTTAAGAGGTTCTTTTCCAGACACAGAGCTGACAAAAGTATTCAAGGGCAGAAGCCATAGCGAAGAACAACGTTCCCTACCGTCTTAGGAATCTAGTACCTGGAGGAAGGCCTCAAACTTTGGAATGAAAATTACGGAAAAGAAGTTTAATCATCAACCTTCTCATTTATTTGTTCATTTATTATTACAATTATTTCTTGTTTTTACCAACTACGCTAAGGGTATGGAATAATCTCGCTTAATCAACTAAATAGTTTTGCAATCCACAAAGTCATAATCGATAAACAACATGATATCTAACTTTGTAATTAAGCTACATTAATCTGTGCTATTTTGACAAACTTGCACTTTCTATCGGCTCTCTAGCTCCTGTAGGCGTAATTCTTTATATCCTAGCCTCTTACTCCTGCAATGCGGGAAAGTAAATATTGCAATTTTTATAGATTACATTCCCGCCACAGAGAGGTCACCTCTCTTCTTGATTCATGATATGATTACAGTCAACCACTTTCCCATGCAGGGAAACTTCAGTTATTAATTTGAATGAGTAATGATTTGTTATGCAATTGTTATTAAGAGGGTATAGTCTTTAGATATTACTGCAAGATATGAAGCATCGTAAAATAGGTCCCTTGCTCATAAAAAGGCTTTTGCCAGTCAAAACGTAGCTTTGACCCATTGGAGGAGCCTATATAAAAGCACCTTAAAAAAAGGGAGTGGAACAGAAAAGATTAGAGCCATTCAGTCGGTATCAAGACTGACCTACTGACCTACTGAGGAGATGAACTCATTAAACTTGAACAGCGGTTTTGAATTACCCACAGCTGATTTTCAAGGACACGAAAGCTGGTAGAATGTATTATAATGTGCCAAATTATACTCACGAGTAGTTTATAAAACTGCATTTCTCGGGGTCAAGCTGTGCGAGTAGTCGGGCGGTTTGCCACATTCCGAATTCAAAACCAGCCTTCTAGAAAGAGAGAATACAGATTCCACTTTCAGCCTAGATAAGGGCTGGAGAACGATGAGAGTAATTTTACAGCAAATTTACGCACGTGGCAGTGATAGAATAAAAGATAAATCAAAGAAGTGCTCATGGATTATCTCCGGTTCATCTCA